TTCCTTTTTTTTTTTTTTTTTTAATGGCTGTGTAATAATCCCTGATGTCGATATACCACATGGACATTCGGGTATTCCCACATTTTAGCTATTAGCAATAATGCTGCCATAAATATTCATGTACAAGTTTCTGTGTGGACATATGTTTTCATTTCTCTCGGGTATATATCTATCTAGGAGTGTTGGCCATATGATACTTCTGCATTTAATTGAATGAGGAACTGCCAGACTCTTTTCCTCTTTTCCAAAGCAGCCGTATCATTTTACATTCCAATGAGCAATGTAGGAGCAGTTTGATTTCTCCACACTCTCATCGATATTTGTTATTGTTGGACTTTCTAACTCTAGGCATCCTAGTGGGTATAAAGTGTTATCTCATAGTGATTTTGATTTGAATTTCCCACATGACTAATGACTCGGAGCATTTTTTCATGTGCTTTTTGGTCATTTGCATGTTTTCCTGGGAGAAATGGTTATTCAGATTCTTTGCTCATCTTTTAATGGAGTCAAACTGTTTCCAATTTTTAATTTCTCTTTAAAATTGCATTGTAAGAATTCATTATAAATTCTGGTTACAAGTTCATTATCAAATATATGATCCAGGAATACCTCCTCCCAAAATAATAGTTGGTTATATTTTCACTTTCTTGGTGGTATCAATTCAGGTATTTTTGAAGGACTTGAAAAACCATATTTATTTTAATTATTACTATTTAATTTTTGTTATGTTTTCATGCACCAGTAAGTACCAGTACCAGTTTTATTACCAGTAGGGCATGGGCTTGTCATTGTGGGTTTGTCATTCCCACAACAGAGGTAGTAGATCACACTATTGTGCAAGAAAGCAGGAGGAAGCCCACAAACCAGACGCCATGGGTTTTCTTCCTAGTTCGGTTAATCACCGTGTGGCTGACATTTGGCAAGTTAGTCACCCTCCCTGGGTCCTAATGACCTAATCCACAATATGTGGGATTGAACTAAAACAGTGGTTTTAAAATATTCTTTTTCAGTAGAAAACATATTTTCAATGAAGTGTTAAATGGACCCCTAATAGATATGATAAATAAAAGATCTTTCAGTTATATAAATTTGTTTGAAACTCAAATTTTTACTATTTCTTTAAAATTCAATCAAAGAGCACAGACATTTGAAACTCTAGATTATGGGTGACAGTTGTGATCTTTTATCAATGTCAATATTCAGTTTGGTTCTATATTCTGTATTAATTTAAAAAAACTCTAATGTTCAGTTGAATCACAAAGAATTTACTGCAAATTGAATGAGTATTTATTTTAAAAATAATTTTAATGTTTATTTATTTTTGAGAGAGAGAGATAGAGTGCAAGCCAGGGAGGGACAGGGAGAGAGGGAAACACAGAATCCAAAGCAGGGTCCAGGCTCTGAGCTGTCAGCACAGAGCCCAACGTGGGGCTTGAACCCATGAACCATGAGATCAGATGTTTAACCGACTGAGTCACCCAGGTGCCCTGAATGAGTACTTTAAAAGGTTGTCTTGCAATCTCATAACACTCTTCAATTAAGCGAAAGGGTAGAAAAAAATTTTAATAGTTTATTGTCTAGTTGGTTTCCATATGACACCCAGTGCTCATCCCCTCAAGTGCCCCCCTCCATGCCCATCATCCCCCTTCCCCTCCCCCCCACCCCCATCAGCCCTCAGTTTGTTCTCAGCATTCAAGAGTCTCTCATGGTTTGCCTCCCTCCCCCCAACTATTTTTTTTTTCAGAGGAGCATTGTTTCTATAGTAAGTGCTCTATGCTAAAGTACATCTCTTTACAGGTAAATTTGAACAAGCACTTAGGAAATCCCTGAAGCTCATTCCATAGGATAAGGTACAGTAGTCCGCTGTTATCTGTGGGAATTATGTTCCAAGACTCCCGGTGACGGATGCCTGAACTTTACATACGCTATGTTATTTCCTAGAGATACATACTTATGATAAAATTTAATTTAAAAATTGAGCACAGTGAGAGATTAAAAATAAAACTAATAATAAAAAAGAACAATTATATCATACCCTGTAATAAAAGTGGTCACTTTCTCTCAAAACATCTTCTACTGTACTCACCCTTCTTGTGATGATGTGAGATGGTAAAATGCCTATGTGATGAGATGAAGTAGGGTGAACGGCATATGTATCATGATACAACAGTAGGCTACTATTGACCTGACAGACAATAGGTCAGAAGGAGTATTGTCTGCTTCAGGACCGTGGTTGACCACGAATAACTAAAAACTGCAGAAAGTGAAACCACAGATAAGGGGAACTACTGTACATAAACCTATCAAACACTAGAGCATCCCTGCCAAGTTCATAAATTTGAAAACTTAGATATACCTCTTGTCTAGTCCCACTGGGGTAACTTCTGGGACTCCTGGGCAGGTGGGACCCCCTGTGGCCATGGATTTGATAAAGCTAATTGGGTCTCATTCATTTCTCTTAAGAAAAGGACAGATAGAAGAGGAGGAAAGGGAGAGAATAGCACACTGAATAGATATAATCCCTGAGCAAAAATACTTCCTTCAGCAGATGTTAAGGAACCCCCGAAACTCAGAAGCCCCAGAAATTTGACAATGGGGGGGAAAGAGAGTCTTTAGAAATGACAGCAACTGAGTACACCTCTCAAGAATAATTATGAGCAACCCTCTACTAATGTTGTGGAAGGGATCTCATCCCACAGGCCTCTTCAAATGTTTTACAGAGTCATTTACTAGCCATTTTAGTATATGAATAGGGTGGTCATATAAGTTGTCACCCAAACTAGGACATCATGAAAAGCAGTCCTACCAATAATTATCTTGGGACAACAGTTGTAAACCAGACTGTTACCAGGCAAAGTGAGATGAACAGTCACCCTGGTTAGGAACCTCCCCCTTGCTTGACAGAAGTCACTACTAGAAGACAATTTGCAGACATGTATCATTCACCTGGTAAAACCTAAATTTCCAAGTTTTTAAAGTACACCTTTGAAGTTATTCTAAAATGTAGAATGGGGAGTCAGTCTAAGAAGTATCTAATATGTTAAGGCGAAAAAATCACTTCTGAATTCACGGTGCTGTCAATACACAAAAAAGAATATAAAATAAATATTAGAATTTTAATTGGTTTTCTAAATATTAATTTGATTTAATATAATTTAGCTACACCGACATAAGATAATTAGGCTTTATGTTTTGGGAAGTGCGTGTTGGCTATAGATAAAGTTTTTTGAGTGCTTCTTGTTTTGGTTTCCCTTACTGAATTTTTACTTTTAAAAACTTGTCAAATCCACAAACACTTGTCAGATCACAAAACATTTTTTTTTTTACTCTAGTAATCATCAGATTATCATCTAGAGCTTTGCTATTCTTCTTTGATATCACTGAGCATCTTGGGGCTAAGATCCCTTCCAAAGATCCTAGTCAAAAATGCTTTGCCCCATATCTGCATGGTCTTAACTAATCTACATCATAGTATCATTCCCATAACTATTTATTACTAGTGAACTTGAAAAATTAAAAAAAAAATCATCCCTTTTTATTATTCAAGATATTCATAGAAAAAGGTCGGTGATTGATATTTGATCTAAACTAAACTTCGGGGAGTTACTTAGATATATACCTTAACAGTAACATGGAATAATTTACTATTTATTTTAACACTCGTCCATTTGAAAATAGGAGCTGATAGTAACGTCAGCTGGGAGGAGGGAAAGGATGAACAGGCTTGGCCAACCTTTTCCCATGTTCTATATATACTCACCTCCTCCGAAAGGGCCCCATATGACTCGGCGGATGGACTTAACCCAGTCTTCCATATCATTCTGGGTGCTCGCCATAAGGAGGTAGCTCTCATGGTTTGCTGTCATCCGATCTCGATCGCCTCCTATAAGACAGTAACACATGAGTGTATGCTCGGCTAAAGATCCGCCATCAGCAGCCCGAGTCCCTGAGGTGTTCACTGTGCCTACCCAATCAATTGGAAATATTTACCATGGCTTCAGTATGAAAAAAAGTCTGCTTAAAAAGGTAAGGCTCTTATGTTTCCAGGAGAAAACTGGAGAGCAAATGTCATTCCCCAAACAAAGCCTGCCTTTCTGTCTTAGCAACGGCCCATAGGTCTGCATTAACGTATAATCCAATCTATTCACACTGCACTGCTGAATAAGGAGAAATGGCAAAGCAAAATGAAAGATGGAGAAATAATCCACAGAGTCTGGATATTCATTGGAAGCAAGTGCTGAGCAGTTTGAGTACTGCTCAGTCCACACACAGTGAGGCCACCAAGACATCGTGAGGAAGCATGGGAGTTCTAGGAAAGGGAAAAGAAAACTTTTGACCCAGAGGTCCTCCTCTATTGCTCTATCCAGGAAGGGAAACCTCTTCCCCCAGAACACACCTGCAGGGTAGGCAAACAAAGCAGAGGAGAACACAGAAGCCTGGCCCACAGATTAAACCCCTAGGTGGCCCTCATGCCAAAGTATGAGCTTTGAAACCCCACTGGTGCCTCCATACAAAAGCTTGATGGGTTCTCTTATTTCACCACCCCTCTGAGAGAACAACCCATATACTTTTAAATCTTTATAATCTCTAATATCAACTTTGAAGTGATAGACTTCTGAGCATGTATTTAATTTCTTAGAAGATGTTTTATAGTATTTACATTCCCTTGGTGACTTAATTTTCTCATTGATAAAAGAGGCATAACCAGATATGACCTTGAAACAGGTCTTGAGGCATGGTTTTTCTTACTTCCTATCTTATGGTTAAAAGAATATTTCTCAAGACATGTATCAGCAACTGTACTGCTTCACTTTCTCTGAAAATAATTAGTGCTGTTCACAGAAGGAATAATTAAGGAAATGGAACATTTAACTGAATTCTGATCATATTTTGGTATTATACTTTGGTATTATATTTCTAAGGTGTCCCAAATACCTATGAATATTTAAGTGTTCACTAAGTGAACACTAAGTATTGTATAGTTGCAGCCTTGAGTTGAATTTATTCATATGAAAGTGTTGTGGTTGATGGAGGCCTTGCTGTTTGTTTCTAAGTGGATCTGAACACCTTCATGAGGAGCTTGCATGGTCCAATTCACAACAGGCTCACCATTCGCTGTTCTTTCCCATACAACCCAACCTACACATAGCAGTGAAAGCTGTAGGCTTTGAATCTGTGACCTCTTAATTCTATACAATAGTCCTAGGTTGAGAAATACAACTTTTCTACCACTGATGTAAATTTATAGAATAGGTGAAAGGTCAGAGAAGTGAAATAACTTTAAGCGAGATGAACAACTAAAATTGGTCATGTACATTTTAATACAACAGGATGGAAGTAGGAAGAGGGGCTGAGGACAACACCAAACTGGTTTCTTAGTGTTGAAAAAATGAGACTAACCTCACATTATAAAGAACACGTCACTGTTTGGGAAACAATGACCTTCTTACAACTGTAGGCCTATTCTCAGTCAGTTCTCTTGAAGCAACTTGTATCTGAAAAAGCACAGGCTTAGGAGTCAGAAAACCTAGCTGCAATCTTAATTTTACCGTATATTAGCTGCCTGAATTCCGGGAAATTACATAAATTTTGAAAACTCAGTGTTTTTAACTATGCTTTAGATATAAAAATACTGTTATAGTGAATTTTTGTGAGAATTCAGTGAAATAAAGTAAGAACATTAGCCCTGTGTTAGGGTAAAGGGTAAATGCTGCAAATATCAATTCATTCTCATTTAACTTCTCCCACACCTACAAAAGCAAAAAGAACATATTACATTTAATTTCACCTCAGAGGGGTACCTGGGTGGCTCATCAGTTATGTAACTGACTTTGACTCAGGTCATGATCTTGGAGGCCCCCCTTCACCCTGTCAGGCTCTGTGCTGACAGCTCAGAGCCTGGAGACTGCTTCAGATTTTGTGTCGCTCTCTCTGCCCCTCCCCCACCTCTGTCTGTCTCTCTGTCTCTCTCAAAAATAAATAACATTAAAAAAAATTCACTTTAACCTCAGAGATATTATGTCAGGAGGTGTTTGGAAACAATTAGTCACATATATATAATATAATATGATTATATTATATGATTAATGTACATAATATAATATAAATAAACTTATTATAAATATATAGTATATAACATATAACATAAATTATATATAATATAAATAATACATAATATAACTAGTAATATATAATATAAAAATGTATATTTGTGATTGTATATATTATACATATAATAATTATTAAAAGGCTGTCTTTGATACATAACAATGTACATTAAAATTATATACTGTACATATATGTAAATGTGAAACACATTAATATGCATGCACGTGGCCATATAACATAAAAGTGGCAGAAAAAACTAAATGACAAAAGACAACTGGCTTCGTTTGGCATGGAACAGAACTAATAATTTATTTTGTGTTCTTATCCACTTATACTACAGTACCAGCCAAAAATTTACCATTTTGAAATCAGAATATTTTAATTATTGTCTTTGCCTAAGGGATGCTTAGTAATCCAGGTGGCAATATCCTGCTGTGTCACCACCAGCCCAGGCAGAGACAGCCCTAGTAATGGGTGAGTGACAGCCACTAGAGTGTGTTTCTGCCTGAAAGCAGGGAAGAAAGAGAATGATAAGCACAACTGGCCATTATCCCCTGACTTTTCATCTGATTCTCTCTCTCCACCAGTGGTGCTGTGTATCTGAACCTGAATCTCATTTAGACTGCCAATCACAGATATGAAATCCCATCTGTGAATTTCACCTGTGGATATGGACCTTGATTCCTCAGTGTATTAACAAGACAAAGGGAAAATATTTAAAAAATTTTATCTACCAGTCTTGGTGGATATATAGACTCATTGTTATGAACACGATTAAAACAATTGGAGACATTTATACAAACATGAACTAGACAAACTACCCAAAATACGTGATTTCCAAGTAGAGATGCCATCAGTTTTAATTCAAAACTTTTCAGGTCTAAGGACCGCTACTGCACCTTGCAATTGAAGGGGCTCAAAAACAACTTACTAATGTATGATGGGATAAATAAATAAGCTCAATATTGACTTTCAACCACATGAATCAATTTCATTCTCTTTGTGAATCCTTTACAGGGCTTCATGTTCCATTTATTCGTGGATCTAAAATTCTTTACAAAGGTGAAATTTTAAAAAGCAGTCTTGAGATCTAATTATTATTTTTCTTAATGTTTATTTATTTTTGAGAGAAAGAAACAGACGGAGCACAAGCAGGGGAGGGACAGAGAGAGAGGGAGACACAAAACTGAAGCAGGCTCCAGGCTCTGAGCTGTCAGCACACAACCTGATGAGGGGCTGGAATCCCGGAACCGTGAAATCATGACCGGAGCTAAAGTCTGGTGGGTGCTTAACTGACTGAACCACCCAGATGCTCCAAGATCTAATTATTACTAGAGAGACAGTGTCATAGGTGTCTTCAATCCTTATGTGAATATACATGTGTGTATGTGTATGTGATATGATCTATGATATTAAAGCCAGTATATGCTCTCCATTTTTGACTTCTGCTTGAAAATAAAAAACTGTGCATATAATAACTTTATTATAATTTTAATACTACTTTAGATTTGCACACATTTTTATAGGACATATGTTTCAGAAAATCACACACACCTTCAGCTTGGGATGGTAACAGTGCTTTGGTGCTGGTGTTAACACTTCAGGCACTTGTGATTTTAAGTTAACTGAGTAGGTCACATCATTCAATTTTACTTGTTTATATATCATTGAAAATATGTGTGTATTTTGGGGGGTCTTCTGTCTATCTGCATTTGATATAAATATTTCTTTCCCAGAAATAGTATAGATTTTCTGAAAAAAATAAATACACAATAACTTTTGCAAAAATTAAAAGGTAGATTAAGAAAAGCTTAATGAATTTAATAGACTAAGAAAAAGCTTAATTTAAAATCAAAAGCTAGGTTAAAGAAATCTACAATAAGGTAAATGTGTAGTTAATGAAACAAAAAAGAGGTACAGTATCCACTGACCATATGAAAAGTTTGACTCCTCTAAAAATTATAAAATAACAATTTAAGATATAGTATTTTCTATGGATTTTACAACTTTATTTGTAAGTAACATCTGTACTTAATGTGGAGCTCAAACTTACAACCCTGAGATCAAGAGTCACCTGTTCTATTGACTAGCCAACTAGGCACCCCTACATAGAATTTTTTTTTAATTTTAAGAGAAATATTGGAAAAGATATGCCAAAATAAAAGGAATGTGGATAATGTTCCCTATGATGTAGCCACTAAAATAAGATTCTGATATGAATTTTTATTATACAAAAGGAAATATACACATTTTTACATGTGATATTATCTCAATTTTCACAAAGGCAGAAAGCTAGATAAATAAGATACTAGATAGAAATACACAGTAATTTTAACAATGGTTATCTCTGAATGATAGGACTGGAAATTTCTTTGCTCTTCTTTTGTACCTTTCTGTATTCTCCAGATGCTCAACCCTGTGTCATTCCATGTATTAGTCCAGATGTTCTATCAGGTATTATTTTATATGAGAAAAAAAAAACATTATTGAAAAGAGCAAACACTTGGAATTAAATGGTCATGAAATCACTAATCCATAAAAAGTCAAGGTGAGATGGAAGGTAATTGTCACTATGTCACTCAGTAATGCTTAAGAGTGCTCACTTGAGTTATTTACCTATAATCCTCGTCTCCCTCTTTCTCCAGATACTGATCCTTTAGTATATGACCAAAGAAGGTTTGGGACAGGTGGCCAGTGTTGCTCAGGGCACAGACCACATCATGTCTCTAGGATTTCCTCAGTGAAAAGGAAAATACTACTATATGTGCATTATCT